GATTAATTCGCTTGATAAATGCATCAAGTAACAACAAATGGTTACTCTAGTAATTCTAAACACTATAAATAACAAACTAAATCAACTGAAGACGACCAACATATGAAAGCACCTTCGCTTGCCACCTTTGAAGTTTAAACGTAAACTTCTCAATAAGAGGTGCACAGTCCCTAATAGATAATCTTTTGGCAACAAGGGGAAAACCCAGGTAATGGATAGAGAGCTTCTCATATCAAATCCCAGTAACTGTCTGAATCTCATTCAAAATATACATACTCATACCAGAATAAAAAAGTTCAAACTTTCCCGCATTCAACCACAAACATAAAAAACTATAAAAAGATCTTCAACATCTCCCAAACTCCCAAAACCAAGGCAATGAACCCCTTGGTGAACACAAACAGGTCGTCAGCAAAACAAAGGTTGGCAAGCCTAACCCTATGAAATTTTAAATGAAAAAAATAACACCAAAATAAGCCGTCTAAACAAGTAATCATCGAAATCACAAATAGATAAGGGGACAAAGGGTCCCCCTGATGAAGCCCCTGAACCCTTTGAAATACCCCACTAATCCCCATTTAGAGATACAAAAAAATAAGATTAGTGACACAAGCCTCAATCCATCCTACCATAACATTAGGCATATCGATAGCTTTTAAAACAAGATAAAACGCCAATCCATCGAGTTAAACGCCTTTTGAAGATCTAACTTCAAAGCACATATGGGTAACAAAGAGGGCTTATTATACCTTTTAACTAATTCTCAGGCCATCAAAATTTTATCACGAATGCAACACCCAATGATAAAAGCTTTATGGCTTTTGGAAATAACATCTGACAAAAAATGCTTAATCTGAGCAACCATGATACGAGTAACACACTTATAAATGAAATAACAACATGAAATTAACCGAAAATCACAAACATGGTCAGGTTTAGGCTTCTTGAGAAACAACACTAAATATGTAGCATTGAAAGTAGAAAACATCTATGAGTGCTAAAAAACAAGACAACACTAGTCACATTCGCCGCAACAACCTTCCAAGCATTTTTGAAAAAAATCAAAGTATAGCCATCCGAACCATGTGCCTTATTAGAAGCCTGGACAAGCATAGTCTCCGTAACCTCATCAACTATAACACCCTCTGCATAAAATCCTTGGCTACGTAAAAAAAAGACACCCAACAAATCCTTAAAAAATCAACTGAAAGATCATCAGAGACAGGTAGAGCTGCCCCCTAACAAAGACTAAAATAAGTTCACAGCTTCAGCAATGATCTGATCATGAGACTCCAAAGTTAACTAGAATCATTCTATAGAACACATATTTCTTGACGATTCTGCCTCATAACAACCATAGAGTGGAAAAACTTGGAATTGCGATCCCCTCTTGGACCCAAGTAACCATTACCTTTTGCCTTAAAAAACTTTCTTCTACACTAAGTAAACTCTGAAACTCCACAAACACCTCCCTCTCTCTAGTTCTAAGATTAGGATCATAAGGGCAAGCCAGGAAAGCCAAAACCGACAATTGTAAAGCCTCCAACTCTGCCATATTAGCTTTAACCCGCGAAGACAAGTTACCACATTTAAAGACATTAAAACTTTCAAAACATGCTTCAAATGCTTGAGCTAAAGGAACAATACTCTCATAGGGTCACGACCACACAAAGGTAAAGTCTAACTATTCTCCATAACCCGAAGAAAATCCAGTCTTCAATCTAAAAATTAAAGAAATGAAAAGGCTTAGAGAATGATCTCTGTTCACAATCAAGTTTGACAAGTCTAGGACAATGATCAAAATTTCATGGAGCTAGGAAATCAACATGAGTATGAGGAAACAAATCAATCCAAAAAATTGAAACCATAACCCTATCCAACTTTTGGGCAAGATAAGTATCATCTTGATAGTTAGATCACGTAAAAATTGGCCCAACCAAGCCACTAAAACTAGCACCCTATAGAAACTCATCCATGTCTTACAGCAAAGGCCCACTAACAGGACCAAAACTTTCCTCAACAAACCCAATGATATTAAAATCACCCGCATCCAACCAAGGAGCATCCTCAATTAAAGTCTTCAATTCACCAAGATGCTTCCATAATCGAATCATATCACCCTCAAATTACAACCATAAACACCCGTGACATAAAACTTCTTATTTCAAAGGTAACTAAATAAGTGACACTCTTATCAGTGACAGCTGCCTCCACTGCATCAAACGAACTCTTACAAAAGAATCAAATCACTATTAACAGAATGAGTATAGTTATGAAACATCTTCCAGTCTGAAAATACATATCCCAAACAATTTGCTCATTACCAACTTTAACCCTCGTCTCTAACAAATAAAAAAGCTCAATATTCAATATACGAACACTATCTAAAAATCTTAGTTGTTTAGGGGAATTGTTGAAATCTTTAACATTCCAAAAATAACATCCTTATGCTAAACTAAGAGATACAGAACCCATACCTCTATTCCTACCCTTGCGAGCATTTTTCCTACCTTTCTTCAAACCTTGCAAGAGTTCAGTAATTCCCTTAGCATCTTCTCGACCCTACTTAGGGATCCCATTAGAGATAGGAGAAACAATCTGCTCCTCAGTCACAACCTGATTTTCTTTAGAATCAACCTTAGAACTCATATCAACTACTGCCTCAACCTATACAGAATAAATTAGCCCTTATCAGCAGCAGAATCACCATAAGGGTTCTGATCCACAATGACCACAAAGAAGCAACAACCTCAGTAGACACCCCCACACCATCAACAACACTCTCAGAACTAACATGAGCTACATTGTTAACAACATCAGCAATGGAAGAATCAACCAACACATATTGACCCTTGGGAACCCAAACCTACTAAGAACCAGTCATTTTTGAAGTACAACTCCTTCCACCATGCCTAAAAACCTTGCAATGAAAACACCTCGTAGGAACCCACAAGATAACTACCTCAATCGATGTCAAAGAACCATCATGTAGCTGCACATTAATACTCTTGGGAAACCTAAAATCCGCAGCAACCTCCACACAAACTTTCGCATAAGCAAACCTATGCCTATGAGTCGTAAGTCCATCCATGGACAAAGGGGTACCCAATGCACTGACCACATAGCTCAAGCCTACACCAATGAACAACTCTAAAGGTATACGACTAAATGGAACCAAACCAAAACCATATCCAAATTAAACTCCTTAGATTGCAAATTAGAGTCCACCTATGCAAATAAGCGACATACTATGAAAATGCCAATGATCGTTTGCCAAAATCCAATCACAAGAATCGACATTCAGAAATTGAAAAACAAACAAATCATCACCCATAATATTGACCACAATCTCCCCAAATCTCCCCCAAATAGAATTAACCAAGCGCTGCAATGAACTGAAATTAGAAGACTTACCGAGAAATTGGGCAACTAGAGAATTATTCCAAAACTTAATAGCCTTATCAAAAAACTCCAAAGGTGGCTTGATCGTGACCGCAGCGTCCTCCAAATGAGAAGGAAAAAACTGAAGCGAATGATCTGGGCTCGCAGCAAAGAGCTGCCTCCAGTTCATACAACTTAAGCTCGCACTATTATCCGAAACCATTGATAACAAACATCAATCCCAAAAGAGAAAAGCAAGAAACCCAGCAAATCGGTGAAGAAAACTTAGAGAAAAAGACGAAGAAAACCTAGCGAAACGGTGAAGAAATGGAAGAACTCCTATGAGCGATTTCATATTTTATTATAATAAATAGTTTTTATTTTATAGTTTTTAAATATTATTTGATATAAATATAAACTATTTATTTTACATTATAAAGTACTTTAAATTAATTATAAATTAAATAAAATAATAAAATTCAATTTATTTATTATTTTTAACATAATTTAATTTAAATAATTGTAAAATTTTAAGATATGGATTATAAACTATTGACAACGTTACAGTTCTAAGTTAATTGTAACTATTTTTTGAATTAATTAATGTTATCCAATCAAGTAATCGATTAATCCAGATTGGATACTGCATATGCGAGGCGATCCTCCTAATCAGTTTTCTCCATTCGCAAACATCAGGATTCAAAATCCTGACCTTGCTTAAGGGATCTAATGCTCATCTCATTAGATCAACTGGTTGTTGGTTGTAACTATTAATAATAATCTATAAGTAAACTTCGTTATAAAAGAAAATATTATTTTTATAGAACTATTGAATTCAAGCAATTGTATTTATAAATATGTAAAAAAAATATTATTATCAATTAATTAAGAAATTTCTTTTAAACAAATACTAATCCTCTTAAACTAATTAAAAAATTGATTTTTGTTACTCACATAGTTTACCTCGAAATATTTCATGTTCTAAGGCTAAACACGAAAACTCAGTTTATATTTTTTTAGAAAAGTTAAATTACACGTTTGACAATGAATTTTATTTTCTCTTATATTTTATTTATTGTACTTTTAATTTTTAATTTACTCATTAAATTTATAGATTGATTTTTTTTTGTCACTGAACAATTTTTTCTCTAACAGCCAGACGATGTGGAATAATTTAATATTAAACAGACCACCTCAGTTTGATATTAAATAAAAAATATTAATATTAAATGTTAAATAATTTTTTTAAATAAAATTAAAATTACTAAACCCTAATTTCGAATTTTAACTTCCATCCCAACTCCAAACTTGACATGGACAACTCCACGCCGGAGGAAATACGAGGCCCAAGTTGAACAAACGAAATTTGTTGCTCGCTTAATCCACCATAAATCATCCCAAAACTCCGATGGTGTGGTGGTTTTGGGGTAACTTTTAGAGGTCGGGAGGACTTCTGGTTTATTTTGATTTTACCAGTTCTATTTTCAATGAGAAATTGAGATGCAACAAATGGAGGAAAATTTACTGCAGCAAACCCTTGCAAGTGCAAACAGAATCCTCTGATTTTGGTTATGCAAAGCTTCAATGCCATTATCGAAGTAAGTTTTTGGGAGATGAAGATGGAGAGAGCTCGAAAACGGGGAGAGGAAGATGGTCTTTTAATTCATCGGTCTCCGACGATAACCAAAACTACAACTAATACGATGGTTGAATTTTAAATTAGCTTTGATAGAGAGAGAAAAAGAGAAAAATAAATAAAAGAAGAAAGAGGAAATAAGAAAAAATAAAATTTTATAAAGAATTAAAACGATGTCGTTTTGAATTAAATTTAGTTACGTAGAAATCTCAAATAACGTTGTTTTGGTGTAGGTTATCATATTACAACATCGTTAGAAAATTAACAACCGAATGATAAAAAAAATTAATTTATAAAGTTAAATGAATAAATTAAAATTTTAAAAATATAATAAGTAAAATATATATTTAACACTTAAATTATCAGTTTTAATCTATTTTATACTTAAACTTTTAATTTTTGTTTTATTTCAGTATTTATTATTAAAAATTTAATACGTTTAGTATCTAAACTATTAATTTTGATCTATTTTAGTATTTAAATTTTTATTTTTTTAAAATTATCGTTAAATTTTTTAAAATAAAAACTAAACTTTAGTATATTTAAAAAAATAAAAATTTAAATATTAAAACAAATTAAAATTAATCATTTAAGTATTAAACACGAATTTAACCATAAAATCATCGATATAGAAGGTCCCACTAATTTCGGCTTCTCCTTTCTGGAATTCTCCAGAGGCTGTCAGAAATTTCTTCATCCCTCGTCTAAATTTCTCAGATATTATACCCACCAATTTCTCCCTCCACAACAGCAATGTTCTTTGATTGATTGGTTGAAGCAGAAAGGAAAAAAAAAAGAAAATAAAGAAAATAAATGGGTTTGATTGGGAGTTGAAGCGAAAGGACATCGACCAAGTTAACGACGACTTCTCCGGTTTCTCGCTCTCGTCGCCGGCCACCAAGATTCGCCGTCTCGATGTCGATTTGCCCCCGATAATCGAGGAGGACTCCTTCCCTGAGAATCACGAAAGAGCCATAGTTCTCTTTAACCCGAACCCACTCCTTCTTGATCCTAATGAACCTCCCTTGTGTTCTCCTCCTCCTTCTACCCCCTTCGTCTCCCTCCATTCCGACCTCATCTCCGGCTTCAAGAGTACGTTTCCTTTTTTTTAGCTGTTTACGGTATTTTCTTCCTGGTTCTGATTTAGAATTGTTGCAGACCAATTCCTACGGGCAACCGACACGAAATCAGCCGAAACCGAAGAGAGCAAGAAGGAAAGCGAGGGATGTTTAGCTATGGTTCCATGGGTTCCTTCACAGATTCCTTCAGTGGAAAGCAGAGGTTTGGAGCAGGAAATCCCGATTCCAGAGTCGATGGAAACTGATGAAATGGATGTAGAAGAGAATTGTAATGACAAAGAAAGCATGCAAGAAGTTCACGGATATCAATTCCAAGGGTTGAAGCCAAGAGAGGCGTTCCATCACTGGACGCAGCCGCAACCGCAGCAACATTGCATGATCCCACAGCCTCCTCAATACCCTTTCACTCCAATCACATGGTCTGATTGATAAACCTCTAGTGGTGCTTCCTCTGTTTCCCTTTTGTAAATGATTTGGTTTTCGTTAATGAGATGGGTGATGAGGGGCTTGGGTATTCCTCTGATTTTGCATGCCTGCAAAAATCATCATTCATTTCTGAGAATTACCCGAGGTTTCGAGGGGTTGTAATTTTGCACGAAATCATTGCTGTAACAAGTTGAAGGTAGTTGGTGGTAATGGGATGTATGTATCCTTTTCTTATGGTAATTGAAGCTAAAGCTGAAGCGCCTTTTTTTTTTTAAACCATGGCTGTATATTTTGGTTTTTATTTGAGACGCACTTTTTTCATCTGCAAGCGCAAAGGCCTTAATATCATATTGTCTTTCCTTGATAAAATGTAACTGCCCACCAGCATTCATAAACTGTAAACAAAGGTAACCACAAATTCAACATGTTAACCCAAAGGAATGAATAGATACAAAGAAACATCAAGCAAACAAACGAAGCAACTTCTTCATATGTTAATAGGATCGCCAAATTAATCATTCTCTTTTCATACAAGAGAGCAGTATTCCCCACTCAAATTTTCCTTTTTGAGTGGAGATTCCCTTGTTTAGGTGCTCAACAGCCTAACTTATCTTCGCCGGCTTAGCTTTAAATAATGGTTGGTATGATAGGATTGCTTAATGAGTTGTGTGCTGTTAAAAGTGAATGTTCGATTCAAGTTGACTTGGTTTGAACTTAATCTTGATTCGAGATTCTTTACAAATTAAATCAAAAAAGGTTCACTCGACTCAATAAATTCTCGAGCAATTCGTGAATTCTTTTTTATTTTTTAACAATTACCTTAGTTAAATTGAACAATGTTCAGCTTGACTCAATAAATTCTCGAACAATTCGTGAATTGTTTTTTATTTTTTAACAATTACCTTAGAAATACTAAGATGTTTTAATATACAGAGCTTCCTTATTTCTAAAGGAGAATCCCTTGAACTACTCCATAATCTTCTCATTAGCTATCTACCACCATCTCCCAAATCTATAGCTACAACTTTGCTTCAGCATTCACCGATTCAAGATTTGCATTTATCTTCCCTTGCTCATCCTGGACAACTTAACTTTCATGGCTTTCTTTTCATTTGTGAAGCATATGATACAAGGACACAAGTCAAATCTCCCCATACCACTGTCGAATATGAAACGGCCACCAACACAGTGATATAAGGGGCATGCCAGGACACATCCAGAAAAATGAAAAACAAATTAGAGATGATCATAACAAGGTCAAGACACGCATGGACACAGGAGGGATATGATTTTGTGGAACTTGAGTTTAAAAACCGTGAAACGAATGGAGAAAGAAACCTAGTGCTTCAGTTCGATGGGTTACAAAGTGGATAATGTTAGACAGTGGTCCTTCCTCACACACACACACATCCCTACACAATCTTCACCATTATATTCCATTGTCAATCAGCGCAACCAGCCATAGTTTCTGCAACACAATCAATGTCGATACTAGTCCCAATTTACGTATGCCTCAATAACCTATTAAGAATATTACAGTCGGGAACTACCACTTGCACCAAGAATACTACCTCTAATAAACCCTAGTCTACAAAGATGGAGTACGTGATTCTAGTGGAAACACAACATGGAAAATGATAACTGATGATTAAGAATCACATACTTGTAAGACCTATATGACAATGGCTAATAATCCGATAAGTAATTTATGGTAAAGATCTTGGAAATTCACACTGGTATCAAGAGATACTTAGAAAGGTTTTTGGACATTCACGTATCAAAAATCATAAAACAGTGGTAACACAAAGCAAAACAGATGAATTTGCGGCCTAATTATATGCACGAATTCCACAAGAAGAGCAAATAGAACCCTTCAAACCCTCTGCATCTATTCTTTCAAACAACAATAACCTTAGCTAATAGCATATGCAGAAGCTATTAATGAAAGAAAGAACTTCTCTAAATGCAAGGGATCAATACAACATAGGGGAATAATTAGTAACATTAAGAAACTGTAAATAGTAATATTAGATATTATGTCAGAAAACAACCACAAAAAAACAAGACTACTGGCCACAATTGCACTATGAAACAAATAACATACAAAGTGAAGTCAAGAATAGAACTACGGAGTCCGTAGAAACGAAACATTTAAAAAAACAAAGTAAATAAAATGAAAAGGGATCTGTACATAAGACAGGGGCAGGAGAGGGAGAATCGGCTCGAGTCTAGACAGGGGGAATGTTGGAGAAGGAGAAGCCTTTGTATCCCTTATACGCATAATACGCAATCCTCGTGTAATAGAACCCCGGAATGAACAATATGGATCCGAGTATCGCGAAGAAAAGACCTGAAAGAATCAATCAAAACCCGCAAATCAGCCAATCGGCCTCGCATGAAATTAAAGCATTTATTCAGATCTTACCATGGGCTCGGTCACCGCCGACTCTGTTGACGGCCATGAAGATGCCCAAGATGATGCCGAGGGTGCCGAAGACGAGAAGAGCGACGGCGAGGCCGATCTCCTTATAGGGCGGGCGATCGTTAATGGCATGGGGATTGTCCATCATGATATCCTCGTCGGATATCGAGAATGCGTGCTCTACGTACATTGTTGTTAGTCTTTTTCACTTCAGTGTTGCTATGGAATTGGATTTTTTAGGAGACGAATTTTGGGATTTTTGGAGGAATTTTCTTGAGCTACCTAAAGAACAAGACAGGGGGAAAGGTCAAACGTCAAAAATAATGAACAAATTGAGCATCCTCATCCTCGACGTTACCATTTACCGTGGGCTGCTCGCTTTCTACGTTGATTAATATTATTTAATTTCTTCAATTATTATTATTTGTGACAGAGGTGAAATAAATTATTTATAATTTTTTAATTATAAGTAGAATATAAATTCTTATTAAGCTTATATACCTTCCTCTTGAATATTCTTCACTACTATATATATATTAAAGTTTAAGAATTGATATAAAATGTTTTAGAGTTTAAATATTTAAAATTTAGAATGAGATTGTGAGGATTGATATAAAATATTTTAAAATTTAGAGATCAATTTAGAATAAAATTAGAGTTTGAGATCATCCCACGCAATTATCTCAATATTGTTATAAGAGTGTAAGAATAAGTAAGAATAGGAATTATACAGAGAAACGAAAGGATTAGGATTAAGATTTTAACCGCACTGAAAATTAATTAAACAAAACAGGACACGGAATAAAACTACGAGAAGAAAAACCCCAATTTAGTCTACACAAAGGACACTATGGTCCTTTTCCGTATTGTCAAGAAATTTCTACATATGAAAATGAAACCCAATTTAGCCCATGAAAGAAACTTGGATCTTGCTAGGGAGGCAAGTCCCCATGTACCCATTTTCCATTGCATTTCCACGTATACCCCCATAACTTAACCTAATTTCACGTATACCATCTTTCCCGCCAATTTTAACAGTTTCCAATCCCCTTTGAAAAATGTCTTTTAGCCACTTCTCAAATAGGCCGTGGAGAAAATAACTTGAACCAAATGAAATCCCATCCAACACCTTATCCTCCACACTAAAACTAATCACCTTGTCATCCCCAAAAATTGCCTCCAGGGTTCCCTTCATCTTGGACATGAAAACCCCTTTCATCTCGTTGTCTCGGGACGCACTTCGGTCGAAGATGTAGCGGTTCTTAATCGATTCGAGGAACTCGAGTCGGAGATGTGGACCGGCTGCGATCTCCCCAGTTATGTCGCTTGAAATTGGACTAGTGTCCCTAATAGTTTCTTCACTTTGATCGTCCTCATCGGCTTTCATGTTCAGATCAAGAGTGTTGAAACTCGGCCGCTGCCTCCATAAATCTTTTTTGAGGGATGATGTGTCTTCGATTCTCGACGTTTTGGCCTTGTTACAAACGTCCCACTCGACGGCTTTTCGCTTTTTATCAGAGGTCGGTGTTCGAAAACTGCTACTTTTTTCAGTGACGATTAGCTTCATCTCGATTATGGAATCTTGATTCATTTCGCAGTCCTCATGGCCCGCACAAATGGACTCGGTTAAAATGACTACTGCTCGGCTAATACTTCCCTTGGTTTCTCTTGATTCGTCGTATGCTCCGGTTTCGAATTCATCGGCTAGGAGTTTTAGGAATAGGGTATCCGCCAAATCAACATTCTCCACCAAGACTACAAGCCTTTTGTTGTTCCGAAATGCTCTTACGAGTCTATCGTAACAGGAAGTTGACTCATTACATCTCATGTTCATGTGCAAGAGCAAATCAGCTGACCCCAAAACAGATTCCGCAACGGCACCCGCCAATCTCCGTTTTCCGATCACATCGTTCCCCTGAATCAGTAACCAAGTTTGTTTCTTGAAGCACACGGAATGCTTCAGGGCATCGGCTATCGAAGGAATAATCCTAGATTGCCAAGGCACGTTATCTTGCAACGTCTTGTACAATTCACTTGTCTCTTTTGCCGGTCTCTGTGAACTCAAGGACAGAGATTTTCCAAGAGCAAGTGTGATCTTTACCTCTTTATCCTCATTATTCTTAAGAGAGTCCAAGTTCGCTTGGCCTGATCGTTTCTCGCGAGCACTATTACTGAAATCAAACTCAACGGTACACGAGCTTCGCTGTCTGAATTTAGGCACCGAATGGTTAAACTTTGAATCAGAATCAGTGAACGACATCAAAGGGTATGATGAAGCACAAGGATAGCCTTCTCCACTCAAATGGTTTTGGTTATGCCTAACTTGGTGCAAACTGTGGCATAATCTGTTCCACTTTCTTCTCAGTTCAAGCATTTCATCCTGCAAATGTAAAAAAAAATGTTTCAAAATTGGTTCTAAAAGATCAGTTTAGTTTAAATTTTGTGTACCTTTTGGTCTTCCTGAGGTTGAAGCCAAGGTGGCAAGAGATTCTGCTGGGTAGACTTAATCGACCGTACATCTTTTTCGTAATTTATAGCACACTCTTCACAGCAGGCGAGCTTGTCATGCTCGGCAAATGGCTTCATTTCGAGCCCTTGAGAATCATGGACACTGCATGATCACAATACCAAATTGTTTAAAAGCTTCAAGGAAGAAGATTATAACCACATTAATGGAGGAAAATAAATGCTGCAAACCTGGAAGCATGGAGGCTCAAGCCAAGTCCTCCCGACGGAACAGAAATTGCTTGAAGTGCCCATTGAACTTCAAGAGGAGGTTGCCTCATTTGACACTTCAAGTACGTCTGGTAACTTGCGGTGGCCAATAACCAGACCTTCGTTTTCGAGAAGTTACAATCAGAGATCAACCTTCCAATCTCAGTTACTAGATGATCGACTGCACTGTACGCAATGAGTTCTTCGCCATTCAAGTTTTCTTCAGCGGTCCATCTCAAATCTCCTGTGTAGATAATGGCACCGTCTCCAGCGGCTGCAATGGAATCCACCCGTCTTTTCAGGCCGGTGAGATGCTTTTCGACGTCCTCTTTTACCATGAATCTCAAAGACAGCGGCGGGAAGTAAAACTTGACGAAGTGAACGTTCTTCATTTCCTCGGGAACTTCTCCTCTTTCTATCTTGGCCTTCAGCTCCAAAACAAGGCCTTCGGTCATGGATAAACAGTCACCGACGATTACAGTGTTCTTCCTTTTATCCCTCGAAAAAACCTCGAAAACCAACTTCACATCTTCCTTCACCGATGCCGAATCCGTGATATGATTGCTTGGTGCTTTCTTTTGAGAAGAAAAGAAAAATGGGTTCTGCTCAGAAAAATGGGTTTGCCAGAAGGTGCCAGAGAGTGCCGATGAGCACTCCTCGATGTTGTTCTTAACGGTAGTGCTGGAGAAGCCGGCTTCTCGCATAACCCTACTAACACTCGGGTCATCAAGTATCGACACGATAAGCTGTTCGAGCTCGACTTTGACAGTGAGAAGAGGCTGCTGCTGCTCAATGCAACCCCTTCTTTGGTGGGCTTGTGCTCTTTTAAGCGCTGCGATCAGAGCGTTGGAAAGAGAAGCTGGTTGTCCGATGAGGAACGGAGCTGGAGCCGTTGGTAACCGATTGAGAGCCACATTGAAGCAAAGTTCAAGAGCTCTACAGTGAAGAGGATGTGAAGCCTGGTGAGTCTGCTGAGACTTGAGACAAGCTTTTCTCAAGAGACTAGACCTTGAACCGAGCAAAGTCACGGCCACATGGAGGGGAGTGACCTGACCATGGCCTCTCCTCCACGCTAACCCCAGAGAGTGCTTCAACACTGAAGCAGCCTCCGCCGTGAGTGTCTGTTGAACCGTATAGGCACCTGAGCGCATCACTTGGCTAAAACCCACCCCCCAACACCACCCCCTTGTTAAAACTTCGTCTCTTTCGTGACCTAAACTCTCCACTAATCTCTATTGATCTAATGCTATCTCTCTCAACCCTACTACCACCCGAAGAAGAAAACTGTTGGGAATGTTGAAAGAAGTAGAGTTTTACCAAACACACAACGGATATTGCCTTCTTTATACTTCCTGGTCATCCATTCTTTCGGGTAAATAAAGTATTTAATCACCCAAATGTTTCTGAAATTCAGTTTTGGTCACCCAACCATTTTTTTCAAATCATAACTAACATTACGTTTTGGTCATCCATCATTAAAGATTAATGGTGATGTGGGTGTCTCGCTATAACATTATAACACATCATCATCGAAAAAAAATAAAAGAAAAGAATTAAAATATAATTTTAATTATGATTTTAAAAAATAATTGAGTAACTGAAACAAAACTGAGACGTAATTTAGATATAATTTTAGAAAAGAATAATTGAATGATCAAAATGAAAGTATATGAATAATTGTGTGACAAAATACATAGTGTACCCTTTTCTTTTATTATTGTTAAGGTAAAGGAAAATTACCCCTGCTTCCTTTATCCACATGATTCAAAAGAATGGACAGACAAAAGCAGCAGAAATTCAAGAAAAGCAGCAGTAAAAAAAAAGTTAAAAAGAAAAGCAAAAGGAGAAGAAAAGTGGTAAATAATATTCCCTTCCCAAACCCTCAAGTACCTAAAAAGAGCAACCCTCTATCTCCTATCCTATGCACTCCATTATTGCTACTTTTCACCCCTTATTTTGTTTTCGATAACTTATTCGAATTCGACTTCAAATTCATTTAAATTCGATTCGTTTAATTATGTCTTTTAAATTATATGGTTTTGATCTTGTCGTCATTTAGTTGTGTTGATGCGACGTCGTTTTAGTACTAGGTTAAAACTTGAGGATTTACCTTAAGTTTTTTCTTGCCGGGACTGCTAATGTCTTCTCCGATTCACTGCCGACACTAAAAATCCCTTGTTTCTTTTAAAACGGTTGAATGCTTTTTGAGAGTTTATATAAGCAACAATAATTTGCTTTTATTTTTTTGGAACTGAAATGGCCAATATTAAAGATGAAAAGAAAGAAGCAACTTTCATTTTCTCTCTTTTGTTGTGAGCACAGCTTTTTACAATAAAGTGATAAAAGCGCAGGAGATTACATCAGACTGACCAAAATTATTTGGACCAACTCCTTTTTACATGATGAAGATTGGACATGGAATAAATATGTTGAGATTGGAATTATGTTGGGGACATAAACACCACTTCACCTACATTATTTCCAAATGTTGGGACTCCTGTAATCATTGTAAATACAATCATTCTCTACTTTACTATTATGCTTTTGAAGCTCTAGATTCTAATTCTACACCATTTTTAATATATATATATATATATATTATTAAGATAAGGTCATTATAAAATAGTATTTATTTTAAATACTCTCAACAATTTAACAATTAATGTTTAATTATCATTTTACAATTGATGATGTTCGAATTCGTGATCTCTAAGAACAACAATGATTTATTTAACCACTAAAATAAGTTTGTTGAAAGTATTTATATAATTATGTTTAAGCATGCTATTTAATAATATCATTTTAATTTTTAGAGTTAATTGCATCACATGTCTTCAAAGTATGACCCTCATTTTAAATTAATCCTTAAATTTTTAAATATTTCAATTTAATCCTTAAATTATGACTATCATTCTAAATTAGTCCTCAAACTTTTAAACAATTCAATTTCATCCCCAAACTATGAAATTCATTCTAAATTGGTCCCCAAACTTTTAGAACATTTTAATTTTATCCCAAATTATACATATATACTAATTACATCCCTTGTTAATAAAATTATTGGGCCAAATTATATTATTATATGTTTAAGAAAACATAATTCATGTTAAACTATGGTTGAAACTAATTATATATTTTTATGAATTTGAGAATGATATAGGAATATTCAAAATTTTGGGGACTAATTTAAAAATATGGCCATAGTTTAGGAATGAAATTAGAATTGTAACACCCTAGACCAGTACGACACACAATCGACCGAAGTAGGATGCAACACTCCTGCTTTTCTAAACTACCGACTAGCCCCCACACATACCCCTTTAGTCTACCGAGAATATGGCCCTCTAGTCTACCGAGAATATGGCCCTCGAAATCTCTGCATCGGACACCACACTCTCGACTAGCCCACTCATTGGCTGTCAGACCTTGTGCCCAAACTAGTCAGCTCAAAGTGCCTTGCATATTCCCTAAAGATATCCGAACTAAATTTATACTTTTGGTATTGCTAGCTTTTCAAAAGAAACTCGGGTGTCTAGGTCGTTTCCCGAACATTCAAACAAGGTAAATCTTATTTCACCTAACTTTATTCTTTTTTCTACATTTAAATTAAGAAATATTATTGTTCTCACTTATAGTCTTATTTAAGGGTAATTATTAAATTTTGGGAAACCTCACTTACCTCTATATTTTATCTTGACTTAAAGCCCATTTATTATCCTTTGTATCGATACTAGACTTACAATATCGATACCCTCACTTGCCTCTACACTTACTCGTGCTTTAAAGCTCAAATCATACCATTGGTATCGATACTAGCTTTGCAGTATCAATACCCTATCCAATGTATCGATAACCCTACAACTACTTCATTCATTGCATCCAAACTTTAAACACCTTCTATAACACTTATTCTAGTGTTTTATGCGTATTCGAACCAATTTATGGTCATATTATGGGTCTAGGGTCTCTCAGGCAATATTTTGGGCCATTTTTAATATTTTGGGTAAGGGTTTCGAAACCTCTCTGGCAGAATATCATTTTGGACAAAGGGTTTCGAAACCTATGTTATAGATTTCACTTTTTCACCCGACAAAACTCTTCAAACACTCTCAAAACCAAGGTTTCGAAACCAACCTAGGGGTTTCGAAACCTATGCTATAGATTTCACTTTTTCACCCGATAAAACTCTTCAAACACTCTCAAAACCATCATAAGATCCCCGATTTCCTACTCTGAGGTTTACCATTAATTATTAAGTCATAAGTGATCATAAAGGAGCATAAATAAGGCTTTAATAAATGCTAATAAGATCAATTAAATAATCTACCATTAACATATAACACTAAGCTTCATAACTTACTATCAAGCTAGAACTCATTTCTAATGATCAATAGGAGTATAAAAGAGTTGATAGTGTGTTACCTTGCTTCTTGTTTGCTATAAACTCTCTCAAGTTAACCAAGGGCAATTTCTCTTTCCTTTTTGCTTTAGAGTTTTCTTCTACCCCTTACTAAACAAAGACAAGAGAATGAGTTTACTAAAGTAACTAAGCTCTTGTATTAAAGCTTAAGATGCTCTAGGTAACTTGAATACACTAAAACGAAACTTGAATTCATGGATCCCCTTAACCTTTATAAAACCCGTTTGGACAACTAATTCTAAAAATCACAAAATAGAGCTTAAAACAAAGTTTAAAGGATGTAGAGAAACATTCTTAGCTTGGCTAAACCAATCTAAGATTTGAATGCTTGAACTTGACTTTTGAATGGAATATGAAATAGAAACTAATGGAATGAAGAAGAAAAATAAGAGTGGGTGAGATATGATGGGGATGGTTAGTTTACGTGAATGGTATAAAAATGAGGGGGAAATATATCAACTTTAACAAAAAGGGTAAACTATATTTTTGGTTAATCTTCTTCTAACTCACTTTTAAAACCATTACTTCTCCTAACTCTTGGGCTTTATTTAAGCCCAATACCCTTATAACTTGGTCCAACTATCTTGGGAGGTCTAATTGGCTTGACTTAAAGGTCTCAGGTTAACCCAAACTATTGACCCAAGATTCGGGGTATTACAACTCTCACCTCTTATAAGAAAATTTATCCCCAAAATTTCCCTAAAGAAAAGTTTCACTTTGAAAATCTATTGAGCATCTACGACATGTCTTGCCCACTAGAACATCTAATCCTAAGGGTGGGCACTAGATTGACTAGGGCGGTTACTGGAATAAGGAATAGGGTAAGGTTACTTGGGATCTAATCAGTTGCATCATCCTCTCCTCTAGCTCTAATCGCAAACTGACAAGTTGCAATTCTGGGATCCCCATTAGCTACGGACTGAATGACACATCTACTAGTCTGATCAGAAGAACTCTTTCATCTCTAGAATCCTCCATCTCTCTGAATTCTAGAAGCTGACTACTGGGTCAAAACTGGAGCCAGGGATCTGTAATGGTAACAACCTCTGGATCCAATCCTATAAGTTCTTGGGTGCCTTATACCATAAAGAGAACAATAAGGATGAGAAATCACTCTCAACGATCCTCCAATAGTAGTTACCAGTGCAATATACAAAGGTCATATATGTTGAATGATCTTACTTCCTCCTCCACTCACGCTCTGAACTGGTTGGCTAAATTGGCTTTTCGGGGCTCTCTCAGACTCTTGAGATTCTCTCAACCTCTCGGATGACTGAGATATTTTTGCTGACTTAGTCATTTCTCTACCCTGACCTGAAGTAGCACCCTCTTCTGCTGCTCTTCATCCCACAACTCTCTTTACCGTCTTTGCCTGACGAACTAACTCGACAAAAAATTTGATAGATTAGCAACTAAATGAGTGAGGATGTCTAGTCGGAGACCCTCTCTAAACTTCCTGCAGTATTGATACTTTAAGAAAACCAACTATGGGGCATATTTACTCAGTCGAAGAAATTCTAGTTCATACTCAAACACTTATATGTTCTCTTAAATAAACTGAGTAAATTGATCTCTCATCGCATCCATATGGGCCTCCCCAACATACTTCTGATGAAACTCATCTAATAATTGATCCCAAGTAGGACATTCAGGCTCTAACGACATCTTCATTGTCTCCTACTAGTCTATCACGTCACTTTTCAGTAGGGAGATGACTTACTCTAACATACCTTCTAGAGTGAGATGCAACAGACAAAGAGTTCTCAGGGTTTCTCTTAACCATGGTCGACTTA